TAAAAATTCGTAAATAGAATTATTTACATAATAATAATTTTCATAAAATTTAAGTATAGAAATCAATCAATGCACAATGCATAATATTCTTTGTAAATAATATTAATCATATTCAGATGATTTAAAAATTCTTTAAATTCAAATTAATCTTAAAATTCCATATAATCATTCCACTAATCATTTCGTTAAAAATCAACGTGACGTAATATCGTTTCAAAATTGTTTCCATCATATTACATTTTAGCTACGATCTATTTCAGAATTCGTAATTTTCCAAGTTCTACCAAATTTCAACAAGATCGTGAACCTTTCCATCGCACGTTCTCATTGCGAAATCCAGTTTCCGACCGTCACGATAAATCACGTTGAATTCCATTCTATTCGAGCATTACACAGGACACGCGTGTTTCCCTAACTTCTTCCACGGATCAGTTTAATGGAAATTTACATTTTATTCGCGGAGTTAGTGACGGGCACGTACCCATTTTAGAAATGTTTCTCGCGAAATAATATCAGGCACTCCGCTTCGAACAAGTCACCTCGACAATAGGGTAATTTGGATATGCTCAGAAACAAAGTTCGTGAGATGAGAAGAAAGAATTTTTGGAAAAATTAATGTTCCTGTTCCAAAATCATATTTTGGATTTTTAGTTTGGAGTTTTATAATTTAGAGAAAACGAAATCAATTATAAACATACTAGTATTTTATATTTATGGTTTAGAGAATATTTTATATTTTATTTTTTAAATTGCAAAATATATTTTAATAACTCGAAAATAAAGATATGCCAATAATAAAAATAATTCGTGACTTTATTTCTGAGCCCATAATTACATCCCTATTGATCGATGCGTTAATAACTTGTCTTTGGTACAATTTTACATGCTTTCTTAGTTAGTAGGTATATAATGGTAATAAATAATAATTTGCGCAACGTTCAATACATTAATAGAAACGCAATTTTGCCATTATATAAAATATAAAAACGATATTATATTTATTTTTCGCGTTGACTCTCCTTAGTTGTTTATAATAATCTTAGTGAATTATAGAGAGATAAAATCTCTTTGAAATTGATATATAATCAATTTCAAATTATTGCATTTCATAATTAAAGAAAAAAGTTTATAGAATTAAGAATATTAAATACGAAAATATATATGTAACTTAAACAAGAAAGAAATAAAAATTAATTTCTTTGGTAATGTTAAGTATTATAAAGAAATTAATTAAAATATTAATATTATATAAAGTAAAGAGAAATTAATAATAAGAAAATTATAAGAGAATATTATATTAAGAGAAATTAATTATTGCAGTGACGAGTATAAATAAACAGCACAAGATATCAATATACATTGTCAACGCATCGTACATATTAATACTTAATATTTATTTATAAAAACAGAATGCTTAATGAATACCTGGTGCTTTACGTGAATCTACAAATGATAATTATCCTTTCACTCTTGACACATCGTAACAGTTCATTGAATATCTATTATACATTTTTGTTTCATACCTTTCATTCCATTGAGCCAATACCAATGAGAGCATATTACCCTATGGTAAATTATTCGAAATTCTCTGCACATTCTCTGTGATCCTCGACTTTCAAATTACCATTTGGAAAAAAAAATGGTAAAAGTATTGATCAAATTGAAATAAAATATAAAAATTGAATTATAGAAGAAAGAATTATAAAACTTCCTAAAAAAAAAAAAAAAAAAAAAAAAAAGAAGAAGAAAAAATTCACCAAGATGAAAAATGCCAGAGGATTGAGCGATGGAAGAAAGAACACGTGGGAATATCTGAGAAGTGAGAATAAAAGGGCGGAGAACCAGCATTCTTCCGGCAATTAGAATTTTCCTGAGACCAGTGTGACTCGCTACAAACCCTCACGAGTGGCTTAATTAAGCCAGACCAATTAAAAACACGGCCACAGCGAATTATATATCACCGTGCGATCTAATCAACGGAACAACGCGGATTTTTTTCATTCTTCTTTTACAAATAAGTCGAATTTAATAATTGATTGGCTCATTGATATATTTATATTGATATATTTAAAAAAATTTATTATTTATTTTTCCATGTTCTTCAATTTTTCACCACCGAAATATATACCATTATATTTTGCAAAATTAATCGCATGGCAAAGAAATATGTGGGAAGTCTGTTGTTACCTCATAGTCTATTGTTAGATTCAACCATTTATAAAATCGTTTGTTGCACGAAGAACAGTTGTGTTGGACTGTTCCATTGTCGTTGCATTATTATATTCGACCGCTTAGTCGCGTGAGAAAATCGTATTTTTCGAAATACACGTAAGTTTGGACGGTAGAGTTAAAATTGAATTTCGCATGCTATGATTCCGGGATCAAAGAATGCTTATTGTAATCCTGATGTTGTTATCGTGTAACGAATATCGTGTTTAACTTGCATATTTAATGGCCATGAGAAAGATATTCTCGAATAATTAATTAGAAATTATGGTATATTCGTTGGAAAAATAAGTTGCATTAAGTTTACAAATGTGCAAAATCAATGTGCAAAAATCCTTTTTCTCTTGTAATTTCGTAACATATAATTAAGAATATTTATTTTAACATTATTTCAATAAGCCACTCAATTTTCATTATTTAATTTTCGATTCAAAAAAAATATTAAATAAGAAATTCTTATATTAAATATCCTCGTTATTTACGATAATAACGCCGTGAGTACAAAATTGTAGAAATTAATGTACAAATTAATACTTATATTATTACCTATAAACAATTTATAAACCATAAATAAAAAAAGGATTAATTATGCGAGAATGGCACTATGAATTTCACTTAATATTTCTTCAAAATATGTGCATATTTTATTACAATTGAAATAAATATTATCAATTAATTAAAACATTTTCATTTCTTCGCATGATTATCCATATATTGGTTAAATTCTTATTTTAAAAAACGTATCATAACTTTTCATTGTACATATGCACAACTTTTCAGTGCAATGTAAAAAATAAAATACAAAGAAAAAAATAGTCTAAGGATTATCTTAAAATTAATATATAAATTTTCTGTTTTGTCAATTGATTACCTAATATTAGTTTAATATTAATCTAATATTAATCTAATATGTAAAATTATACAAATCAATCCTGACAGAAACAGAAAAAAATCATTTAAATAGCATGAAATAGTAGAATTTTTCCATGCTTTTTAACATAATGTCAAGTGATAATTTCACAAGATCATTTTTGATACAATTTATAAACTTAAAAAAAAACAAATATCTTGTATATTCCAAATCATGAAATACAAGAAAATTTAATCTCATTTATAATTTTATAATTTAACAATATATTTGAAGATCCTAACTAGATTCTCTTCCATTACCATCAATCACAATCAATCACGTGAACCACCACAGAAGATTTAGATCCTCTATAGTGAAATTCAACTCAATGGCACAGAGAATAATTTTCTCGACTACTTCCTTCGATTACACTCTCGATCTAGATACAACGTTCTCTCGCATACATACACTTTCTTCCTCTTTAATTGAATTCCCTTAACAATTACAGTAAATTACATTGTTCGTATTTACAGCGTGATATACATACAGATCATTTCTCTATAAAAGTTGTTTCGCAGTGCATTTTTATTTTCATTTGTGTTTCTTTCCTATTTCTTTTTTGGTTGCGTGTACTCGATACACAAAACCGCTGTAATTTCGTTGAGATCGATCGATTTCCTGTTTCTTTAAGGCTAATATGGTTAAACCACCATAACGAATACCAATTTCAATGAATTTCAATCGAAATTAGGCATTCGATCCATTGCTTTTGTTTCTTTTTTGTTTTTTTATATGTTTATTTATTTTTTTTTGTTTTTTTTTTGATATATTTTTTTTATTGTTAAAGATTTTTCAGGTTAGATTTTAGGAAGATCGATCGATCGTCGATTCGTCTCGTTCGATCGTGTCGTTTTCGTTCGTCCATCGAATGCAATATTGATCCTTTCAATCGGTGACTGTTCGTTCCGGTTCTAACTAACAATGAGCTTCAATCGAGAGAAATTTGAACAATATTACCAATTAATGTTTTGCATGCCTGATTGGTAATATGTGTAGCTCAATTACTTTTAAATTTTAGAATTATATTTAATAGAAAATTCAGAATACCATTTTTTCAGTTATTCTATTTTAAAAAATTATCTCATAAAAAGTTATCAATTGTTTTAATTCAAAATCGAAGAATATATTCGTATGCATGTTTAAATTACATTTATAAAATATTTAAATATAAATTATATTTCGAGCTATACATACTTCTTTTCAATAAGATAAATATTCAAAATTTATATTAGAAAAATTATTATCAAGGAAACCACATTATTAATATTTGTTTCTATATCACAATATCAATAACATAGCTCGATTTGAGAAAAATTTAAGAAAATTTGGTTCGTAACAAAAGACTCGTATGTCTTTTTCTCATCGATTAGGCAGTGATAGATTTTTTTTTAGACAGTCTCCTCGATCTTTCGACAAAAAATAATAATCTTTTAAATGGAAAGAATTACGATTATTTATTGCTGTACACAATTTGTTTGTGCAGATATGTATTATTTTCTCTCTCTCTCTTTTTTTTTTCTTTTTAAAGAAATATGTGCGTGATTTTCGTTGGAAAAAAGTGATTTTTCACAATAAATTATTGTATGTATATATAGGATATCGATTCGCTTCTCTCGCAGATATTTATTGTTATTGTTGCTACTGTTTGATAGGCAGTGATACTTTCTTTTCATTTCATTCAATTTTTATATTTCAATCTCGTTCTTCCAATATATTTTTGAATTCATATACAAAAGTTGACTGAAAACTGTTATATATTTTTAATTTTAACAAATCACATCTTTTTTGCATAAATTTTTAAATAAATCAACTTAAATTTCAATTATTAAGATTTCTAATCATCGAAAAATATCGTCAGAAAAATCAAAAACATCAGAATTTAATGATTAACATCACGAATTATCTTTTTATCTCTAATATCGATTATTATTTCATTCCTTATCCTTCATATTTCATAACACTTTTCCAATAAATTCTATCGTTTAGATATCAAAATCTAATTACAATTAATTAATCATTTACGCATCTTTGACGGTGTCGTAAATATTTATTTCCGGTATTGGTCGCAAGAACGAACACTGCCTTCATAAATTTTTCTATTTTCTTCGTTTACATTCAACGTATATTTATATACTTTCTATTCGATTATCCAGCCTTATATAATAGCAGTTTCTTATGAAAAAACAATACTATCTTCAATAACATCATCTTCAACAAACAATAGAAGTTCTCTTAATATCCCTATTCGATCGGGGTATTTTCGAGATATTTCTCAGAATTTCCATAGAAATAGCTCGAAACCCTCGACGATGTATTTACAACGCTCTCGTTAGATTTCCCGCCTCGTTGGCCGAGCTCTCATTCGCTTCCGGTGTCGGATACAGGCACGCGTGAAACGATTTCGCAGCGAGAGATAACAAGTTTGTCCACTTCCAACGCTCAGAATCCAACTAAATTTCCATTCGTTTCGTGCTATTGATTTATAGGGATCAAATACATCGCTTCCTGCAGTGAAAGCATACGGCCACGAATATTCCTCTCGAAAATTTCCAATTGAAATAATCTCAGGGAACAGAATCGTAGCACGATTCTTTCTCCCCTCTCTCTCTCTCTCGTTTTCTCTCGCGTGAAATCGAATTTTTCATCGAATTTTTTGCTCGAGAATTCCAAGAGTTGGAAGAAAAGTAAAAAAAGAAATAAAAAAAAAAAAAAAAATGCGTCACCTCCACATGCTCATTTTCGGTACCAGGACGAAGATCTCTTGACTTTCGCTCGAGGAAACAACGATTTCGATCGACAACGAGTATCGCCCGTTGATATCGATTGTCTTTTAATATCGTCTTGTCTTTTACAGCGGCTTCGTACGCCGTTAGAAAATCGGTCTCTGGATTAAAAGCAGTACTTCCGCGTGCTCACTTCCGGTACCGGGCTCAAGGACGGGGGCCGCCCCTCGCGCGGGACAACCCCCCCTTCCTCCTGTCAGCCGTAGTAATAGCTCTTCGTGCTCAAACTCCGTGGATTTTCTGGGCGTAGAATCGTGTGAAGACTGTCCGTGCCTACCATATGGTTGCCCAGGTCCACCCTGACACCTGTGTTGCCAGGGTAATGCCCTGGCGCTGGATGCATCGTGGTGGGCGACATAGGTATCCTTGTTTCCGCGTAGTAACGATCGCCGTGGAGCCTCTCGGCCAGCTGGGTCTCTGGAAGCCTGGAAAGGAAATTCAGAGTAAAATAAAAATAGAACTTTTTGGAGTGGTCTAGAATGTTTGCAAGACTGATTGTGTTGAGATTGACGAGGATTGAAGAAAGATGGGATTGTAATTGATATAATTTAGTAGATGCTAGTAAGTTTATTATTATTATTATTATTATTATTATTATTATTATTATTATTATTTAAAAAAGATATTTTTAAATTGTTAGATCGTTTGAAAAAACGTATTCGAATGGTGTACGAACCTTGTGTCTTGCATCGGAACTGGTACTGGCGTGGTAAGATCAATATCAGCGTCAATTTCCGAAATGTCATCGGTGAATCCATTTGGAAGCGCTTCGTTATTTGCATGGAACTTTGCGTCTCTCTTCGCACGATGACGGCTGACTAAAAGACGTCCAATTACCAAGCCCAGGAAGATTAAAATACCGGCTGTGACCGACACGATGATATAAAGGTAGAATTTCTCTTGATTTTCTGTGTGAACGGGAAATCCAATAAAATGTAACAATGATCAAATTTTATAAAATTAATTAGATTATATAATTGAATTAAAATATGAAATATGAAAATTTAGGAAGGGTTCAACTTGCATGCAAAATTACTGGAAAATCTACTACTATAGATGCAATGCAAACACAAATGCTCAATCTTTTTGATTGCAAACTAATCGCGTTTCGAGCAATAAAGTGCAATATTACTTAATATTTTCAAATATTCGTTTTTTTACGCAACATAAATACAATACAAAAAAAATATTTATTAAACATACATACGACTACCTATAATTTCTAAATTTTCTAATCATAAACTTTTATCTTCCAAATATTTTAGAAAAATTTAATAATTATTTTTCAACATTTTTTTTGTAAATGTATTACATTATATTATTGACACTTGATGATAAATTAATGACATCATTAACTGTAGGAACAGAGGTTTACCAATTAATCTAGATAAGCTAAATTATCGATTGTAAATAGTTACTATCATTTCAGAGCTTGGTAAAAGCGGGATCTCTGTTTACCGACATTTCCCTAGACGATATATCTCTAGTTCAACCGATAAAGAAATAAAGAGAACAGAGGGAAAGACCGGTAAAAAAGGCGACTTACCGACTGCTCGAACGGGAAAGTGGAGTACAGAGTGTACTTACTCGATATGAACGAATAGGCATTGATCCATTCATTGATATATCCGACAACGACACGATCCTCTTCGGGAAAGGCGTAGACTACCGTGGTGCAATTAATCGGTGACATCGTACTGCTGGTAATATCGGCCACGTTGTTGTCGAACATAATCATCCCTTGAATAACCGTGGGTGTTAGGGGCGAGTCTTTCGCTCCTACACCGATTGACTTAAACTTGTTCGATCGTGTATCCACTGTGTAGACGCGAGAAATAAATGAATAGGATTGGCTGATCAAGAATAAAAGATCGATAAGAAGGGATAAGAGAATGCAATGCACAAATAGGTGCCGATAAGTTATATTAATCATCCCTGATCCTGTTATTTACAAGAAGCCATAATAATCGTTGTTCTTTACACGATAACAGAGGTAATTTCAAAAAATTTCAAATACAACGCACGTTTCTTTGCAATATATTTGATATAACGATCAATATTTACACATTATTTGTCAGATATACGATTATGTGTGTTAAATACGGAAATTATAAAAGATAATCGAAACACGGTTAATTTATTTTACAGATAGCGTATTCTTGGCAAGGCAATGGTGATTTATTCGTAGCTTCGTATTATATACAAGAGTATTGGGAATAAAATGATGTAAAACGTAATCCTCCACCAAATCGTAATTGCTTCGTGTTATTTGTACAAAATTGCGATCAATGCGAGAATACGAGGGTGCTGTGTAAAGTGATAGAGCAGAAAATCTGATATCAGGGAAAATATTAAGATAAGATGAATAATGTGAATTTACAAATTGAAATTTATACGTGTAATAAAGGCTAATTTATAAAATTTAAGTGATGTAGGATATAGGAAATTTTGAGAGATATTTAAATATGCGATTACATTGATTTTACTACTTAAAATATATACATTTTTTGCCATTTATCGTATATATAATGAATTTAATCATAATTGAGATACTTCATTATATTATATTCGTTAATAAAATGGATGAGAAGGATTAAATATAAAATTATTAAATTCAAAGTTATCTTTTTTGCTATTTTTAAATATAACAACTTTAAATTAAAATAATATAAATAAAAATAAAAGACATTTCATTTTAATCCTTTCTTTTATCTAAAATAATCTCTCAAAATTTCCTGAATTTTCTAATAACGCTAAATCAGTATGAATTAACTTTATTTATAGTGACAAAAACAAAATGATATCAATTCAATTGTCGATAATTTAACATAAATTGAACGTATGCTACGTTACGATATTGTTTTCGACCTAATATCAAACATTATTGATATCTTCTATACATTTCGTTGTCAATCTATAAGCACAAATGACTGTCGATGTTGCATATGCTCTTATCACTAATGGACCCATTTCATTCCATAATCAGAATATGTCAATGCTACTAGACACTCTCACATAATAATAAACTAACATTATAATTATTTAATTTTCAGCTCTCTATCAATTACCAGTTACAAAATTATTATGCAAGAGGACTTTAGTGTCGATTCTGCGCCATACAATGTTACCAACTTTTAAAATTCCCTAAAATAAAATAATCTATATAATCTTATCAATCAAAAAGACATTCCACGCTCCTAAAGTTCATCAACCCCCAGAAATCTCTTAAATGAATTTAAACGAAGCAAATTTCATTTAATCTTCTCGTCCAACAATCAAGACCCTTTCACGAAACGCGTTGGAGGTTCCCTCTGACGAAAGATGAATCGAAATAACGTGGAACAAGCGGAGTGGTCCATCGATAACCCGTTCGACGTGTCGTTCACCCCGTGTTTTTTACGGATCGATGATCCGGCAAAGAAGATACCGATACTCCGCGCTTTCGACAGGTTTTCAGAGCACAGACAGGCCATGGATATTTTTCAAGAGGAGGAGGAGAAGGAGGTGAATGCCAATGGGAATGGAAATTCGAAGTTCATCTTATTATATATCGGCATACGACAGTGGCTTTTGTCATTCGTGCCGCAAAAATACGTAAATTACATGCGAGCACGGATATCTTGTTTGAAATTTCAACGTGTTTATATTCATATTGATGAAAATTTGGAAAATTATAATTATAATCGAAAATAACTCGAAAATAAACGAATTTTGAATTTGACTATAATCGAGAGAATTGGAAGAAATAATGGATTGGAACGAATTTTGAAAGCGACGTTGAAGTTATTTCATTATGAATGTAAACTGGATTTAAATCGAGATTATAACCATTGAAATTACAATTGATGCAATCATTTGTTTTAATTATAAATATCACGTGTTTGTTTCATAAATTTAAAAAATGAAACAATGTTATAAAATATAACGTGATATAATTAAATTTCTCATATTAGAATTCTTCGTTTGGGCTACCAATTTTAATCATCTGAAATCACCCTTAAAATCGAATCTCTTTGAACGTGTATAAATAACGAAACGCAAACTTACGATCTTCACGAACGATGAGTCTGACGTCCCTGTTTATTTGATTTGGAAAACCGAGCCAGTTTATCGTGGTTCTTAACTAGAACGCTTCGAAGACACTGATTTACATAAACGGAGCCTCTGTGCGACGCAATTCTGCAAACGCAGTGAAATTTACATGGGAATCAGCAAATAACTTACCGCGAAATTTTGAATCGTCATCAATACGAAGAAGAAACTAAAATTCAGCATATACGTTTTATGATGTTGACAAAATCAATATTTTTTTTTCTACATATCCCAGAATTTATTTTATTATTTTTATGTCGGATAATATATTTTCAGTTGCATTGTATCTTTAACTTTGACACGATTAAGGAATTAAATAATATTTCTCCTTTTGTAAAATATTCGAATGGATCATTTTATGAATCTAATTTAATTATATAGATTGAATATGTTTTCTTTGAATTGAAGAGAAAAAAAGAGAAATTATTATTAACTATTTATAACTATAAATTTTGTAAGAAATATTTGTATAAAACTTTAATTGGAGCAAATACGTTTCGAAGTTGGACGAAATATTATGTAGGATAGAAAGAAGAATTAAGTATTCTAATATCAAGTGACCTAATTCAAACTTATGCAATTATATATGATCTGACGAAACTCGACGAGCAAGGATGGTTAAATATGCATAATCAGCCATTTCAAATAGTACCTACATTTCATCTTATCATCAATATATGCTAAAAAGAAAAAATAAAAAAATAAAAATTGTAAAAAGAAGAAATAAAAGGACGAGTTTATTAAAAATTTTCATTAATTAATTAAAAACTACGAAGAGAAAATAATTAATCAATAACAGTAATTGTTGACATTATCTTAGTAAAAGTTTTTTTGGTTTTTTTAGAATGAAGAAAATTTTCCTACAAAAGATTCCCAAGATAAAGTCTAGTAAAGTTAAAAGAATCTTCCATATTATTTACATCTGAATTGAAACTGAATTGAAGTCAGATCCAGCAGTTTCATGATCCGTATTTGCGATCAGATCATCACTTGAAGTTTCGAGTTTTCCAATTAAGAACTTTTAAATACTTAGAATCAGTCATATTATTTTAATGAACCAATTAAAAAATATAAACATTATAAATATTTTCTTAACATCAAAGATATTTTTATTTGCATCTACACAATAATTCACAGCTCAAGAACAAAATCTCAATAAATTTTACTTACTTTGGAAGTGATAACATTTTATATCATAAGAATAAATTATTAAAAAACAGTTTTCTTCTTTAAACGTTCACTTAAAAATCATTGATTATAATTTCCTTTCAATACTATTTAATTCATTCGACCAACAATAAATAATTAAATCAATATGCACTTGTATCCATCGAAATTTTTCAAACTCACAAACGAAAAGTTGTTCTCCAATCGATTGACATTTATGATTTTTCTTCGCCAAAATGAAATCGATAGAGCGATTTTCTCACTGGAAGTTGTTCGGCACAACCACGATAGACGTAAAACTATTCAAGTGATATATTGTAGGCAAACATTTAAAACGCTTATCAGCACTCCACGCGATTTGCACAGGCGGTCAGATAATACCAATGTTTCGTATTCTCAAATATTTGTTATATAACTAAGACTACAATGATAATCAGTATCGAACTAGAACATTATTTTAAATATTCATTTTTATTATTAAATATTATTTAAATTTTTATTCTTGAATGGGAAAATGGAAGAAGCTCTTATCGATTGAATCAATCAGTTAAAATTATTGATGAAGATCTTATCTGAGAAGAAATTGTTATGTAGAAAATTTTTGCATAGGAAGAATAGAACTGATTTAAATAATTTTTATATATAATTTATATTATCATCAATATTTGTAGGAAATATATTGTTTCAAATAATTATTTGATTTCACAATAATATCTCATACATGTATAACATCTAAATACGAATATTTCTCACTTTTCTTTAACAAGATAATCTAGTTAAATTTTAAAAAATTGTTGTCTTCTATATAATTTTATTTACCTGTTACGAAAATAAAGAAAATAGCATTCGTGTAATTTTCATTATACGTGCAATTATTTCCACAAGCAGAATAAACAACATGCCCAGAGTCATTATTACCATCGTGATATTTAGCAAAATAAATATACTATTATATATAGATAAACTAAATACAACGGTAGATTCAGATTATGATGTATTTTCCACTTAAGAAGTATGTAGTATGTGCATTATGTAGCTACATCATACAGTATTTTGATGGAGTATTATACATTATAATGCATCATACTTGGAGCCATAATTTAATGTTATTTTAATGAAATGTTGCTAAATATCTAAAAGGTAAAATTCTTTAAAATGCATGCAATACTAATCTTTTATTCATCCGCACTGACACATATATTTATGCTAATATACGTATGCGCAATATTTATACTAATTTTGAATTATTAAATAATGAAAGTAATAATATAATTTATCTTTTATTATTTTCTATAATAAATAAATAGGAGATAATAATGAAGATATTTTTAATTAATTAGATGTTCAAAAAAATATGCTCGACATATATATCTATATTTATCTGTATTAGTTTTTTTATGTATATAAAATTGTAAAAATTTATAAAATTGTTAGTTTAGTTTAATTTTAATTTTTTGATAAAATTTTTCCTACAATTAATCTTCCAATAAAAAATTAATGATAAAAGAACGATAAAATAAAGAGGCACAAAATTAAAATTCTAAATATTTCATTAAACA